TTTTTTTCCTAATTTTTTTTACTACCCCCTTTAGGCCGAAAAAAGAAAAAACGAAATCATGTCAACCATATAAAATTCACAAAAAATCCAATCCATTTTATACAGAAATCTAAATTAAATAAATATTTCAGATGAAAAATTTTGGTTTAACACAAACTGTCCATCTGTTCACAACATTGTTTTTTCCCTTCCTTTTTTTTGTAAAGCGACAGTTTCATATACTTCTCAACTTATAGCAACATTATTTCAAAAGTGACAAAAACCTTCTATTCGCCTTTCATCTTGCTGTTTCCATTCTTCAATTCTCATCCCTACTCAAATGACAATCCGATTTACGGCTTCTATAACTTGAAAATAGTTCGATGCCTTCATAATCTCGTTTAAACATATGCATATACTAACAAATAAATTATATTACGGAATATTTTAAAAGCTAACAAATAAACATGATAAAGTTAATCGGAATATCATTGATCATGACATAAAGATTAACAAATTTAAACTTGACTGAAGTTTTCGTTTCACACATTTGACGCCATCAGTGTTACTAGGGGCGATACAGCACGTCCAACAGCCAATTCCATATAAAAATAATCGCGATCGACTATAGAAATCACCGAAATAAATCGATTAAGGAAAGCACACAATGTTAATTTTGCTCACTATTGTTGGCCAGTTTATTCTCATACTTTTTTTTGTGGATAATTTCATTGCCGGTCCTATACTCTCAATTATTACTTCAAAATAGATGGAAATACTCACAAGGTTCGTTCATTAGAGCATCGCTCAGTAGCTCTGATTCAGTCCTCAAGAAAGAAGACAAAAAAAGGCGACGGCGAATATCGGACAAAGCTCGAAATGTTTTCAATAGTACACCGGTAACTGCTGAGCTCGAGAAAATACCCCACTGGTGCAAAACCTAAATTTAACGAAATTCACAGGACTTTGAGGATTTTAAAATAAATTGCTGAACTTGTATTTTCATGCGTATGTGGTAAAAATCATAACGTTTCGCAAATCATGAGCTGGCAAGCATCAAAACTACTCTTCCTTTAATATCTGATTGCTTGAAATGTCAAGATCATGGTTAGACATTTATCAAGGAAAGCGCATAACCTAATGGTTTTAATAACTTCAATTCAAGCGATTATCAGGAAAATTATAAACATACCGAATTAATTGCATGAAAAAGGTGCGCTGCTTCTTCTTCATGACCATGTATTATCCGAGCATGTAGTGCAATATGAATAAGTTTTGGTCGGAGAGCCAAAAGTGCAGCAAAATTGTCAAGAGTCCAAGGATGTGGAGCTGCTTTAAAAAAACTTTCGTTCAGGAACGGCTTAGTAGAAATTATACTTACCAGCAGCTTAGAAATTTGGCAGGAACTCAATAATATCGTAGTGCCAATTGAATGACAAATTAGAACAATTATAATCGAATATATGGTAACAATACAATAATTTGACAATAACCAAACAAAAAGGTCTGGTCTCGATTTGGGATCTTTTCATGCCATTACGATACGTCCGACAACAATTTGCAGTATCTTATTCTTGTCTATATTAGATTACATTCTGTCCCTTCTCCACGATTTTTACTTAGCACATCATTTCAAGCATGCTAAATGATCTCTTTCAAGGTGATACTGTCTGACAATAATCAGTAAATACTATAATTTAAATAGCATACGCTTTCAAAAATTATAATTGCAAATTAATTACTTGTAATTTCTTCGATCAAATTGAAGATATGATAATCACTCCATGCAAATCCCCTTAAATTTTCATTAGTGACCATACAGTGGATACTGAAGGACATAGGATCGATTATTTCCTCACATAGACGGCGATCTTCAATCGTAGTATTGCTTAAGAGCTCCCAGTCAATGACTTCTGAATAAGTAGAAGCGATACTCTTAATAAATGACTTCTGAATAAGTAGAAGTGATACTCTTAATAAATGACTTCACAATAAGTAGAATAAGCAGAAGTGATATACTACCTTTAAATTGCAGGCAATGGTAAATTTCGATTATCTAACTTTTAGACCCAAAAATTTCAAGAATAACACAACCAGCCATTCCTTACCACAGTTATCTTCATCAAGCGTTAAAGGTCCGAATAAAATCATGAATAATTGTCCCTGCTGAGCGATAGTCTTTTGAGTGCGCAAAATGATCGAATTCCAGAATCCATAACATTCTTCGTTCTTCTCGCAGTGGCTTAAAAAGAAACCTCGTAGACGTGCGCGAACCTTAAAAACATTTTAAAAAAAATTAATCAATTAAAAAAAATTGGCTAAAGAACTGCAGTGGGAATCTTGCTTTTGTTACCTCCATTTCTAAGTGAGGATAGTTTTTGACTTTTCGTGACATAGCACGGTTGAGAATGCCATTTAAACCAGTAAATCTCATCACTGTCCGGAATAGTTCTACGCACTCACTGTGCGTCCATCCTTTGCAAAACTAGAAAAAGTAGTAGCTATTAATTTCAGCAGTTCAAAAGTAGAGAGAAGATATGGAGAAAAAGAAAACTTTAATTGTATGGATTTGACTTAATAGGCATGTCTCAACCTGTCATTATCTTTTAATATACGTCATTATCTTCATATCTTGATTAAAAAAAGAAAATATTTCTGGTCCAAACTTACCGCCATAAAGCACCGACCCCAACCGCTCCAATTTCCGACGTTTCTATTCTAAAAATTCACATATTTTAAAAATCACACAATTTTAGAAAATTATAAGAAGATGTGAACTAACTATGCTGTTCTCACCTTGCTGAAGAATTTTGCCAAGAAGACATGGCTGCCGTGAAAACTCATTGCGATGGCGCAAGCTTTTAGAAGCATACCTGAAAAAGTTGATATATCACTTATATTTGTCTTAAAATAAAAATGAGCAGGATGAATCTAACGGACGCCCGAAAAATATTTGAAATCTAGTTTGGCAACATCATGGTAACTTGTATAAAACAATGTCTGGTCTTCGACCATCTTACGAATTCCTTAAATAAAAAACATCGTTTTCACTCGAAACTCAAGCCGAACTAACCCCAAGCATAAAATGGATCTTGTGCACTCTCAAAATCAACATCGTATACTGCGATCGTTTCTGCGAAAAATCGTCGACATGCACTCACCATTGTGATGTATTCACGGATTTTGGCATTTAGTGTACCGGACGAAAGACTAAGCTGCTTTAACTGTACTACTGAAATTAGAGCCCTATTTGTAGCAATAGTAGGAAATGAATATTTGGTAGATACCTTTTCTTTTTTTATATTCCTTTATTGAAAAGAATAAGTAATAAAAAGTTGCCATTAACTAGGTTTGGTCCACAGGAGAAAAAAAACTGTTCGGGTAGATCAAATATTATAATCAATGCGAAAATAATTCCCATATCACACTTACATTTCGTACTTTGGAAAGTTTTTTATGAAGGAGAAACAACAAAGTGAAAAACCTGGAATGCGATCAAACATTATATAGAGTAACTCAGGTGGAAGCATTTGAAAAATTCCAAGCGGTGAATTCGAAACAGCATCCGGTACCACTTGTACTATTACATCTTCCAACGCTGAAAATCTTTATTCTCTAAAATCTTCTCTAGACCGTTCCAACTTCTTGTAATAATGATAACTTTTCAGGTTAAATTAAGTATTCTCAGATTTCAACGAACTTCCTAAAGCCGAAAGATACAAAATCGTTGTTTGGTGCTATATCATATAGTATAATCATGAGATACAACGTTATATAGAATAACTCGGGTATCCATAACTTATCTATAACTGATCCATTATCCATAACTAACCTGTTACAACATACTACAATATGAGATGGTGAGACTTAACGACTTTCGTATATCTTACCTAGTTAGCAAATGCTTCCCTAAATGTTCTATATATTATAACGGTAAACAACAATTCCTTGTTCGTTAAAAAAACACAACGTGACGCATTTCAGTAATGTAATGAGACTCATCATTTCTTATCTATTCTATGAATAAGAATAATAGTTATTATTATCATAATAATATATAAATATATATATCAAATTTTCGTTTCACCATCGGCATTTCACGATTATCATACCATTTTCTTTATCGTCGAAGATACGGTGACATGGAACCAGTCGACTGGAGGAAATATTAATGGCATCCAGCGTTCCGTATGCTTTTGTTTTTTTCCCGTCCAAAGAACAACAGCCTTTCTCGCTAGTTTGACGTTTACGAACAGTAAAAAAACTTGTGATTTGTCCCGTTTCAGTATTTTCGGACTAAAAACAAGACAAAATTGAAGAAATAAAGATATTCCTCATATTTACAGCCATCGTATTAATTTAAAAATAAGATAAAATTGACGAAATAAAGATATCAGTCACATTTATAGCTATTGTATCAATTACATCGATTTAAAATTATCTGGGATACATCATAATATTTCGGGATGCATTATAATATCATACCACATAATATCATGGAATGTGTCTAAATAATGTCTAGCCGAGGATCTTGTAAATTGTTTCTTAAAAAGTATTATAATATAACTTCCGAGGAGGAATAATGATGATAACAGAAGTTCGAATGAATTTTATGCCCGTCAGAGATTGGCAAAATTTGGCTCGAATTATCTAGCAATTTCGTGTTCCCCAAATAGTATTGCACTATGCCTTCTGAAAATCGTCGTCCAGAAAGGTATTTCTGACCATTTTGGGAAGACTTTTTTTTAAGAGAGGAGAAAACATGCATGGAAGAGTTATTGGAACTAAACTAACGTCAATGATAGTAAAGAATTAATTAGTTAAGGAAATTATTGCCTAATGAGGAA